CCTTTACCGGATTTGAATCTCTCGCACATGTTTTTAATAGGCATCCCTTAATCCAAGTGTTGCCTTCTGGGTTTTATTCTGTTTTCTTTTTCTTAAACAAAATGGAACGTCTGTGCCAGCTTGGAACAGGACTGAAAACTGAGGCCAGCCAATGCGTTACGCTGGCAGGGGGCCAGCCGTGGATTAAGTGCCCCATGCCACTCGAGAAGTCTGGCCGACACCACACTGGTGGGGGCGGGGGACAACGGCTGAGGCTGGAGGTTTCTGCATCTCTGACACTTCTGCTCTGGGAAGAGAGATCAGCACAGACTCAGGAGTCTGGCCGGGAGCAGGGCTGTTTGAAGGGAAGGCCTTGGGCAGGTGCCATCGTCTCCCACCCCAGGTGTGCGGAATGCTCAGCCTGGAGGTGAAACTACTCTCCGCTGGGGTGTGTCACCTTACCCCCAGTAGTCATTCTCCCAGAGGCGCTTCTGTATTTTTGGTGAAATGCAAAAATTCTGTAAATGTAAAAATTCTGTAAAAATGTAAAAAGCAATCCTGTAGGCCGGGCACAGTGGCTCACGCCTGTAATCCTAGCACTTTGGGAGGCCGAGGTGGGTGGATCACCTGAGGTCAGGAGTTCGAGACCAGCCTGGCCGTCATGGTGAAACCCCATCTTATAAAATAAAAAATAAAAAAGCAATTCTGTAGAATTGCTTCTGATTTGTTGGTAAACCCTAGGAACCAGATCTTATTTGCTTAATTGGTGCAGGGAGAGGTTGCCACTTCCCCCTGAGAAACTTTCTTTTTTTTTTTTGAGATGGAGTCTCCCCAGGCTGGAGTGCAGTGGCATGATCTCTGGTCACTGCAACCTCTGCTTCCAGAGTTCCAGCGATTCTCCTGCCCCAGCCTCCTAAGTAGCTGGGACTATGGGCACATGCCACCATGCCCACTAATTTTTTTCATATTTTTTAGTAGAGATGGGGTTTTACTGTATTGGCCAGGCAGGTCTCAAACTCCTGACCTCATGATCCACCCGCCTCAGCCTCCAAACTGCTGGGATTACAGGTGTGACCCACCATGCCCAGCCTGAGATAGATTCCTTTCAAAATTTAGTGCCAGGACAAGCTTTGTTTCCCCCAAAGAGCCAGTAAGCATTGCCCATCCAGCAACCTGAGCCACATATCATATCATGTTCCCTTTTTGCCTTGTCTGCTAGGAAGCTCAGAGCCAAGTTGTATGCTTTTGCAGTAGCTATAACCTCCATTTATAGCTGCCTTCATTCCAGAGTCCTTTTGGCTTCTCTGGTACTAACCAGGGTCAGGATAAGTCCTTTGGGAAAGAAATGAGGGCATATATAGTGTTTTTTATTATTGTTGTTATTGTTTTTTAAAGAAAAATGTGCCATTGAAGGCAGAACCCAGAGGTGGTGATCATGCTTTCCGACCTGCCTCTCCTCTTGCACAAGTTCCGGGAGGAAGCAGCTGAGGCATGATGAGTGGGAGGGACCTAGAAAGGAGGGAGAGGCACAGCTGGCTTTTAGTTGTTTGCAGAGAATAGAAAGTGCATGGCTGGGATGCTGACCTGCCTCAGTCCCACTTCTGAACACAGGGCAGCTTGTCCAAACAGCCCTCTCTGAAATGGCAGCCTGCAGGCTTCGCCGCTGGCCTGATTTCACTGCTCCTTCAAACTAGCATCTTCCTAGTGACGTGCCAGGCTCCTGGTATCCGGGGTTTCCCACAACACTGTCCCGTGTGTGTCTGGGAGTTGCAGGGCTGTTTGGATAAGGGCCCAGATCTGCTTGGGAGGGCCTCTCGGCCTAGGACCCCAAGCCCGCCTCGATTCTGAGGGTCCTTGAAGCCCACCCTTCCCCAGAGCATGGTCCCAGCACCACGCCACACAATGGGTGGCCTGCCGGCTTTTCCTTTCTTTGAATGTGGGCTGGGTTGCTGTTCCTGGGAGCCTAGCTCTTTCTCTTCTGCCTGGACTAAACCCAGAGAATGCTGGGCAGGGCTTTATGATTTTGGGGTGAGGACTGTGTTCTGTTCTCCACATTGCTGAGCCAGCCAGGGCCAGCCAAAGCTCTATGTTCAGGCTGACCCGTGGTGGAACAGTGACCTAGGTGGTCAGCTTGATTGCCTTCGTTGTTGTTTTTGAGATGGAGTCTTGCTCTGTCACCCAGACTGGAGTGCAGTGGTGCGATCTCGGCTCACTGCCACCAGCTTCCAGCAATTCTGCTTCAGCCTCCCGAGTAGCTGGAACTACAGGCATGCACCACCACCCCACTGAGCTAATTTTTGTATTTTTTAGTAGGGACAGGGTTTCACCATATTGGTCAGGCTGGTCTCAAACTCCTGACCTCATGATCTGTCTGTCTCTGCCTCCTGAAGTGCTGGGATCAGGCGTGAGCCACCGCGCCCGGCCGCCTTACTGCCCTCTGGTGCACCGCAGTCATTGTATGGACTAGAAAACTGAGGTTACAGAAGGAGGTCACGTTGCCACGGTCACACAGGATCCGCAGAGCCCGCACTGGGGCAGCGGTGGCCAGCAGCACTGATATACTGCCTGACCACTCTGAATGCTTGGATTGCACTTGGAGGATTTTTTTTAAGTTTCCAAAGCAACATAGCTCACATTTTAGTGACCACATTGTTTAGAATGTAGCTTATCTCATTGGAATGTTGAAGCATCAAGCAAAGCCGGCGCTGGATGTGGCTGACGTGGCTCAGCCTCAACTTAGGAGCCAGAGCACAAGCCACAGCTGCTCCTGGCCCTGTCATTCCTCCCTTCCGCATTAAGTATCTTGGATGCCTTCATCCTTATCTTCCTTTGCTCCCCCCCAGGAAGAGCGGAAAGGGGCAAGAATGCTTTGCCACTCATCTTGTTGGTGATGAGGATAGGACCGGGCTGTGTTCACGTTCACAGAGTCGGGTTATTATCATTGTTAAAACCATGTGCTGAGTGCTTGGTGTGCGCCCTGCACTTCCCGTAAGTTGGCTCTGTCCAGAAACAGCACAGAGAGGAAACAGGATGGGACCCAGAGAGAGTAGCTGGTTTGCTTGCAGCCACACATCTCGTCTGTGCCTGAGCCAAGACTGACCTCCAGTCCGTCTGGAGGATGGCTTTAAAGCCTCTGCCCCACGATCCAGTTAATATCTAGGGCAGTGGTTTTCAACTGGAGGTCCTTTTGCCCCCAGAAGACATCTGGCAATATCCGCAGCCTTTTTTTATTGCCGCAGCTTGAGGGGGTGATATGGATGTATACTGCCAGCGCCTAGTCAGTAGGGACTAGGATGCAGCCAAACACCCTGCAACGTACAGACCCGCCCACCCACCCAACAAAGAGTTACCTGGCCCCAAATGTCAGTAGTGCTGAAGTTGAAAAACCTGACCCAGGGCGTCCCAACCCTCCAGCTGACACTTGCTGGGTGTGTGTGGAGTGCAGGGTGTTCCTGGCCTGCCCCTTTGCTGTGCATGGTAGTGCTCTACTTGCTCTTAGAAGGGATCATGTGCCTAGACCCCCAAAGGGGATCAGGGCACTCTGTCCAGCAGGGGCAACCAGGCCCCTTCCTGTGGGCAGAACGGCTTTTGACTTTTCTCTCCTGGGCTCCACACACCTTCAGTAGGTCTGATGAGCAGAGGTCCCTGGTGGGCTCTCTCCTAGACATTGCCTGGCACCCAGTGAGCAAGGCTCTCAGGCCAGGGCTGAGATGTGGGCATGGCGAGTCTCTCCTGCTCCTCCCGCATCAGAGCCCCACGCTGAAGGTTAAAGAGAGTGAGGAGAGATGTCACCCTGGGCCCTAGGACCCCGTGGTCGAGTTGGACAGTCAGGATGCTCACACAGAGGCGCACCCTCAGTAACGGGGTGGCCCCAGGTATGTTTAAGAGCCAGAGGGACTTCAGAGCCAGGCTGAAGGTTTGAGATGGAAGAGTATGAATGAGCAGGGACGACTCCCTGATTCTTCGGCACGTGGATGGGATTCAGGTGGGCATCAGGCAGAGTATTGGGCTTGGGGCTCACGCCCGGCAGTCAGTGCAGCACAGAGAAGCAGTTGGAAATGGCTGGCGTGGGGCACAAGGCAGTCCTGGTCCAGAGGCTGTGGCATCGGTGTGGGTGGGAATTGCAAGGGCATAGTGCCACGGCTGCTGGGGCAAGAGGAGGGCGAGGAGGCCCCAGGAAATGGAAGGCTGGGAAGTGTCCAGTGTGAGGAAAAGCCACCATTTACTCTTCTGAGAAAAGGCAGCAGCCCCTTTCATGGTGGCAGTTTTGCTTTGAGGAGCTCCTGATGGAGGCTGCACAGACACCTGGGACCCATGCCAATCTTCTCCAGCCGCTCTTGTGTCCAACCACCCCAGTAGCCAGCATCTAGGTAAATGTGGAAAACAGTTTCTGTGATAACAGACGTGGCCCCGGGCTCAGTCTGCAGACGATGCCTGGTGTGTCCACTGCACTGATGCGGTGTGCCTTTGGGAACCCACTCAGCTGCTGTAGGCTTGGAAGCTGCAGCTCCACAGGCCTGGAGTTTGCCCCTAAGGCTGTGCAGAGCCAAAGCCTGAAAGCCCTTTTAGGGGCAAGGATTAATGTGGGTTACTCTGGGGATCTTGCAAGAGAGGCTGGGAGGTGACCGTGCAGAAGCTGTGGCCTGCCCCACGGTGTGTGTACTGGGTGGTCCCCTGGTCCTCTTCCGGTTTGACCTAGTCCCTCCTTGAAGACTCCCTCCATCCAGTCAAGGCCAAGCAGGCGGGGCGGGACCTCTATGAGCTTAAAAAAAAAAAAAAAAAAAAAAAAAAATCAATAGCCCTTTACACTCATACCATGGCAAGGCTGACGCAGTCTCCTCCACACACCTTGTTCTGGTGTGTCCTGCCAGTTTTATACAATAAAAGGCACGGGGTAGGGGAGATTATTAATACCCTCTGAAATGCAGGGAAATGGTTTTCCAGAGCCTCCATGGGACCCCATCGAGGGAGCATGGGGCCTGGGGCACCCACTGACCCGGTAGCCTACTCTGTGTGCGCAGACCTGCAGCCAGTCACCTACTGCGAGCCAGCCTTCTGGTGCTCCATCTCCTACTACGAGCTGAACCAGCGCGTCGGGGAGACGTTCCATGCCTCGCAGCCATCCATGACTGTGGACGGCTTCACCGACCCCTCCAACTCAGAGCGCTTCTGCCTAGGGCTGCTCTCTAACGTCAACAGGAACGCAGCAGTGGAGCTGACGCGGAGGCACATCGGTATGGGGTGGCTGCATCCCCTGCCCTCCCCATCCTGTCCCCACTGCTCTATCCCCCACCAGTCCTAGGCCCCAACACACCCTCTGCACGGAACCCATCCTTAGCTGTGCTCTGCCTCCTGCTGGGAATGGGGGAAGACTCGCTGCCTCAGCAAGTCCCCCATATTCTCTGTTGCCCTGTTTAGGGGCCAGATGGGTAGTGTTCAGGCCAGTTGATCATTCTCACTCAAAGATACAATCTCAGAAAATCTGGAGGCCACAGAGGAAAGTACTTCACTTAAGGGATCCAGAAAGGAGCGTCTATGAGAAAGGCAACATATGAAATCTGTTTTTTTTTGGTGGGGAGCCACAGTCTCTCTATTCCCCCAGGCTGGAGTGCAGTGGCATGAGCTCGACTCACCGCAACCTCCGCCTCCTGAGCTCAAGTGATTCTCCTACCTCAGCATCCTGAGTAGCTGGGATTACAGGCACCCACCACCATGCCCTGCTTATTTTTGTAGTTTTAGTAGAGACAGGGTTTCACCGTGTTGGCCAGGATGGTCTCGATCTCTTGACCTTGTGATCCGCCCACCTCTACCTCCCAAAGTGCTGGGATTACAGGCGTGAGCCACCGCGCCCGGCCAGTTCTGGCAGTTTTATAACCATAAAAGGTATGCAAAACTGCCTCTCGGGTTCAAGCAGTTCTTCTGTCTCAGCCTCCTGAGTAGCTGAGACTACAGGCATGCACCACCATTTTTTGTATCTTTAGTAGAGATGGGGTTTCATCATATTGGCCAGGCTGGTCTCAAACTCCTGACCTCTTGATCCACCTGCCTCAGCCTCTCAAAGTCCTGGGATTACAGGCATGAGCAACCGTACCTGGCCATAAATATATTTTTTTAAGTTACTGAAATGAAACAAACATTTTAGTCTGGGTCTTCACATCCTTGCCTCTGCCTCCTGCTCTTACTGACTTGACAGTTGTGGACAGGCGGCAGTCACCCCTCCTGAGGACGCTGCGACACCAGCACCCTGCAGAACTAAAGCCAGAGAAAATGAGGAGTGGTTGAGGGAATAGGAGGCAGGGCAGGGGATATCCAGGGATGCATGGATCAGCTGCCTGGTGTTCATCCCACCTCATGCTGGGCCTATAACATCTGGCTCCGTGTTCTGGCCTCTGAGCTGCTTCCCCAGGAATGGAACAGAGATTTTCCTATGCAGGATAAGGGACCATCCCTGTCTGAGCAAAGAGCTCACTGTCAGAGTTTACGTAACTGTTTGAGCTGCAGAGCCAATTTAAAAATAATTTCTGTCCATCTGGAGTGGATTTAAGAGATGAAAGAAAAGTAAATGGTATAAACCTCTGGAATGTTTTAGAAAAATGCATTGACGGAAGGAAAAAAAATATGGGGGTCGTGTTAAACCGTCCCTGCGATAAAGGGCTCCTTGGGGCGTCTGTTTCATCAGATGGAGCCCAGCAGGTGTACTGAATGAATCTCTGAATCTTAGAGTGTGAAGAGACCAAACAGTAGTAGGTGGTGGGGTGGCAGCAGCAGCAGGAGAAGCCGACACTTACAGGAGCTTACTGCGTGTTTCACAGTAATCCTACAAGGGTAGGGATTATCATCGTTCCCTTTATTTTTATTTTTATTATTTGAGTTAGGGTCTCACTTCGTCTCCCAGGCTGGAGTGCAGTGGCGTGATCAGAGCTCACTGCCGTCTTGAACCCCTGGACTCAAGCAATCTGCCTGCCTCAGCCTCCCAAGCAGCCAGGACTACAGGCATATGGCACGATGCCCGGCTAACTTTTAAAAAATATTTTTGTAGAGATGAAGTCTCACGCTGTTGCTCAGGCTGGCCTTGAACTCCTGGCCCCAAGTGGTCCTCCCACCTTGCCTTCCTAAAGCTCTGGGATTACAGGTGTGAGACGCTGCGCCCAGCCCCCATCCCTATCGTAGAGACAAACAAAGGCTCAGAGGGTGAATAATTTGACTGAGGCTTATGCCTACTCAGTGGCAAAGGCTGTCGTTGAGACCTATCCCATGTGCTTTTCTTGTCATCTGCCTCCCGTGGCTTCAGGAATCCAGCATTGCCCATGATTTCCCCTACTTTAGGCCTGGGCTTTGGGGCCCATTTGCCTGGGGAGGCTGTCAGTCGCTGGGAGCAGCCCTGCCTCCTTTGCAAGCCTCAGGTGGCCCCCGGGCCATTGTGTGTGAGCAAAGTCACCCTGTCCAGTCTAACCTGAATCTCTGTAGGAAGAGGCGTGCGGCTCTACTACATTGGAGGGGAGGTCTTCGCAGAGTGCCTCAGTGACAGCGCTATCTTTGTCCAGTCTCCCAACTGTAACCAGCGTTATGGCTGGCACCCAGCCACCGTCTGCAAGATCCCACCAGGTAAGGCAGCCACACAGGCACCCCTGCCCTGAGGTCCCTCTCTGAGCGCATGCCTGGGATGCTGGAGAGTCCGTCTTTCTCACCTTTTCTGCTCAGTGTTGATGGCGTTGTCAATCTGATGGTGATTCAGTTGGGTTTTTTCTGTGCCCACAGATCTAACTGTGCTTTCCCTGAACCTCCAGGGAGCAGATGTAGCATCTGATGGGTCTGCCTTTAACCTGTGGGTACCTGCCCGTTGCAGGTACCTGTGAGTGGATACACAGGCAACATGGCTTCCTTTCTTCACTCCCGCATTGCACAGACAGACAGTGTGCAGGGCTTCGTGCCAGGTGCTGTAGGGGATGAAGAGGTAGATGGGGCCCTGCTCTGTCCCTGCAAAGACCTTACAAACCTGCAGAGCACGTAAGACAAAGACACTGAAGAGTTCAGTATGAGGGAGGGGTGCTAAGCACCAGCCCAGTAGCCCAGGTAGAGAGAAGGCCCATTTAGCTGTTGTGATGGATCAGGGATGTCTTCATGGTGGAGAAGCATCCGGACCTTGAAGGATAGGTAGGCATTAGGCACAGGAAGGGCATTCTAGACAGGGAAACAGCCCAGGCAAAGGCCCTGAGGTAATGGAGGGCAGGGCATGGCTGGGCGGCACTCTGGCTGGAGGAGGGCCACGTATGAGACAGTCAGGGGAAAATGTTTGAAAAGCACAACAGCAGGAGGCCATGGAGGGACACGAGAGTGACTCTAGGGAACTCCTGAGGGTTTTCTGAGTGAGCCTGAAAAATCCCACCTGTACCCCAAGAAGATGTGTTGGGCTGCACCCCTGAGAGTGGTTTCAACAGGGCCACACCTGGACAGAAAGATCAGGCAGGCAGCTGATCCCATCTAAGGCTTCTTTCCTTAGGAAACCAAGGCAGAAAGCCCCAGCCAAAGCCCACTTCTCACAGGGGATGCAGCCACTGGGCAGGCAGCCCACAGAACGCGGCCTGCGACATGTGCCACATGCCCTTTCCTGCCCACTGAGAAGCAGATGGTGGGGGGAAGTGGTGGGCTACGGACAAGGGAAACTTTAGAATGCAGAGTCTGAAATGGTAACAGCACAGCGGGTTTCCAGAGCACTCTGGGGTTGCATTTACAGAGTACATTCTGATCTTTGACCTCGTCTAGTCCTCTCCAGTTATTCTCTGGCTCTGTAAGTCGGGAGACACTTTGAGGAGACAAGTTCAGAGTGTTTCAGCCACCTGCCCAAGGACACACAGCTAGTAAGTGGCCAAGCCCGGATGGGGCCTCGGATGAGAAGGACTGATGGACTCTCAAGTCTGGTCCTCTTCTGCTTCTTGGCTCTGTTGGGGATCAGGGCCCAGGTTCAGCCCTGCTCCATCACCCTTGTCCTTGGAGAGAATGAGAAGAGGAAGTGACGTTCTTGGCCTTCTGCCTCCTCCCTTCCCCGGCCCCACCCCCATCTTTTGGGTGAGGGCTGAATTGGCTCTGGTGTTGTTTGTCAGCTCATAGAATGTCAGAGCTGGAAGGACCTCTGAGGCCAGCCCCTCATTATACAGAGACACGGGGTCCCCAAGAGAATGTGACCAGCTCAGAGTCACACAGCAAGAACAGGAGACTGCTGTTGGCTCATTCATAAGCATTACCCCAGCTCACCTTTTGGCTATTTCCGGCATGTGCTTTTGTCTTTATTTTTCGGGTTCACGCATTCCTGGCACTCAGGCAGTATGACTTCAAATGACATTTATTTTAAACTTTGTGACTGTCTTTAGTTTTACTGTCTGGAGAATTAGATGCACACCTTCACTCAGCTGTGAATGTCACCTTCACCCAGCCTGGTGCCAGAGGCCAAAATGTGGCCCAGATCGCACCCTCCCTCCTGGCCCCAGCACCAGGTGTATTCATCAGAAGAGCCCTGGTGGAAGGTGCCCTGGGCCCTCTGCTGAGCTTCCCATGGGACGGCAGGCCCAGTAGCCTTTCGGCCAGCCTGTCTCTGCTGCCACTGCTTGCTGTGGAATGACCAGAGCTCCTGTTCCTAGGTGGGCGACCAGACCCCACACAGCATGGGCACCCTGGCCCAGGTCCCTTGTCTCTCTGTCCCCTGGCCCCCTTGCCCAGGGCAAGCCTCCCCTCTCCACACCATCTCCCTATTCTCAGAGTCCCACTTGGAAAATTCTGTCCGCTCTGGGAGTCGGAACTTAGGGGTCAGCCTTCCATCTCCCCTTGCAGATATGTCAGCTGTGCACCTCCTGGTGAGGAGGTGTGTTCAATGGGAAGGACCAAGTCGGCCTGTCCCTCGCGTACTAGCGTGGAGTGTATGGGAAATGCATCATGCACCATGTGTCCCCGGAGCTGTATCAATCAGGCTGGTCTGGGGGGGTCCAGGGCTTGCTTTATCCAGGACAGGAGCAATGGACCTGGCCCCTTCTACCCCCACAGTCCTGTTTCTTTGTTGTTGGCAGGATGCAACCTGAAGATCTTCAACAACCAGGAGTTTGCTGCCCTCCTGGCCCAGTCCGTCAACCAGGGCTTCGAGGCTGTCTACCAGTTGACTCGAATGTGCACCATCCGCATGAGCTTCGTCAAAGGCTGGGGAGCAGAGTACAGGTCAGTTACAGGTGCTGCTAACATCAGGGGACCTAACTCCAGGTGACTCAGGACGGCAGAGCAGCCAGGGGCTCCTCGGAGGTGAGCTAGGCCATCCCTGGCGCCCAGAGCAGAGACCGAAGATTAGAGAGAGGTCATGGCCTGGCAGGCAGGAGGGGCTGGGCCAGCAGCACAGGAGGAGGGATTGCAGAGCGATGCTTGATGGAACCAAACAGCTGCAGACACTGTAAACACACGCTCCATCTTCCCTTCGTCCCAGCCCTGGGTGGGGACGCCGGCATCATCCCCCTATACAGATGAGAGCTAAGGTCCAGGGAGGAAGCGTGACTTGCCTCACACGGGTAGAAAATAGCTGTGTCTAAAACTCTGCCCTCTTGGCCTCTTCCTTATTCTTTGTTTGGGCTGATGTTTTAGAATGACCCTCTTCAGGAAGTTAGGTCTTCAGCTCATTGTTTCTTTTCTCCTCTGTGGTTCCATTTCTGACTCAGGGCCCCTGGTGATGCTGAGGAGCCCAGGATGTTAAAACTGAGAGGCAGGGAAGGGAGGAGATTTGCGTAGTGATAAGGGAACAAAATTTCCTTGCTGAGAAATGACTTTTTTAGAATTCTAGATACTAGTTTCTTTTTTTCTTTTTTGAGATGGAGTCTCAGTCTGCCACCCAAGCTGAAGTGCATGGGCCATCTCGGCTCACTGCAATCTCTGCCTCTGGGACTCAAGGGATTCTCCTGCCTCAGCCTCCCGAGTAGTTGGGATTACAGGAGCACACCACCACATCCGGCTAATTTTTTGTATTTTAGTAGAGAAGGGGTTTCACCGTGTTGCCCAGGGTGGTCTCAGACTCCTGAGCTCAGGAGATCCGCCTGCCTCAGCCTCCCAAAGTGATGGGATGGCAGGCGTGAGCCCCCGTGCCCAGCCCTAGATTTTGGTTTAAACATGGCCCTGACAGAGTTCAGGTCTACCTGGTCTGCTTGGTTGAATCTCTCAGGCCATTCTGCTTTGGGTTTAGAGAATCCCATCCCTTTTCTTTCCACTCATGGACAGGAGTTTGCCGAGAGGCCGGGCTGTGTGCCCCCACCTTCTGCTCCACACTCCCCCCTGCCAGCCGCCAGCCAGCTCCCGTGGTAGACGCAGAGGTGCCCACACATCAGCTGGAGCCAGCGCCTTGCAAGCTATTCTCCCCTTCTCTTCATTTTTCCAGATGTTTGGAATCCATTTTGTTTTGCAGTCATGCTGCACCCACGCCAAACCCATTTCAGTATTGGCCTCGGGCCACCGTTTGTAATGAAATCCAGATGAGCATGACTTATGGAAAGTCAGATTCTCATTAGAGGGTGTCGTCCTGCAAAATCCTCCTCTTCCACTTACCGTATTTTAGCTGCTGTTCTTCTGTGTCCGCTCCAGGTGTCAGGGAACATAGCCCCTTGCTCTCTGGGGTGTCTGTGAAATCCAGGAGTGACCAATTGAGCAATCAAAGTGGTCAGACCTCAGAAGAACTTAAAACCATGTTATGGCCTGAAGAGATTAGCCCAGGTCCAAAGGTCCAGCTGGAGAAATGTTTTAAGCAACCTTTTAGCCCTGGCTTAGATCATTTAGGGAATGGGAGTGAAAGGTTAGGAAATTAATCTTTTTTTTAGTGGCGAAGGGACATCTTTAAAGATGGACTGCAGTGGAAAAGAGCAAGGGGACATCCATTTGCTCTTCTTACACCAGGCTGTAGTCCAGAGGGCCACACTCAGGTACCCTCGCTCATGCAGATTCCCCAGGATCTGCAGGCCCATTTCTGAACCTCCCCTCTGCACAGGCAAAGCATAGGCCAAGCACGGAGGGTAGTGCCCTCCAGACAGCAGCCCCGTTCCTGGTGTGGCATCGCAATGCTCTAAGTGCTAGGAAGAGGTTCTTAGGTGGCGGAGCCTTTCCCTGGGGACACTGTATCACCACGCGGGATGTCCTGCCAGCACACCCAGTCCTCTGTGGCCCACCGCGTCACCGCTGCCTGGCAGCACTGCACAGCAGCCCGACAGGCGGGCACGGCCCCTTCCCAGAACAGCCTTGTCGTCCTCCTGCCTCTTGGGCCAAGCAGAGTAAGATTTCAGCCCTTCTCTCTGTGAGGTGGCCAAAAGCAGGGACCAAGGCCCACACCTCTCACCTCCAGCTGGCACCAGTGACTCCAGCCTCAGCAGATAGCCTTTGCTCAGTGGAGGCCTTTGGGAGGCTGCCTGCAAGCTGCGTCATCAACAAGCCTGAATTTAGACAAAGTGCTTTGGGGAAAAGAAACGTGTGGTGTGCCTTGGTTTTTTCCAGTAATTGTTCCATGGCTCGCTCTGCTTGTAAGATTTTCCAAAATAAGGCTGTAGATGAGAATTATATCAGCACATTGGGAACCGAAGGCATGTGGACACTGTTGGCACTATGTAAAAAACACCCCTCAATCAGACACACACACGTCATCACGGCCTGCTGGGGCTGGGCCTGGATTTGGAGATAGGGGAGTGGCACGAGCCCATGTGGTACAGATGGAAGCCAGGGAGCCCTCTGCTCAGGTTGGAGGTCTCCTTTATTAGGGGACCTGTTACAGTAACTGGGGGGCCTCTGGGGTACCCTGCAATTAACTTTGTTTTTGATATGGAGTCTCGCTCTGTCGCCCAGGCTAGAGTGCAGTGGCACGATCTTGGCTCCCTGCAACCTCTGCCTCCCGGGTTCAAGCAATTCTCCTGCCTCAGCCTCCTGAGTACCTGGGATTACAGGCGCACACCACCATGCCCAGCTAATTTTTGTAGTTTTAGTAGAGATGGGGTTTCACCATGTTAGGCTGGTCTTGAACTCCTGACCTTGTGATCTGCCTGCCTTGGCCTCCCAAAGTCCTGGGATTACAGGCATGAGCCACTGCGCCTGGCCTGCAACTTTTACGCATTTAACTCTTTGCAATTGACTTTACATGTTTAACTCTTTAAGGTCAGCTTCCTTCCCCCTCAAGAGAACTTAATTTACCCAAAGTCCCCCCTGGGTGGAGGAGTTTGGCCTGGTAGTTTCAGAAGTTATTGGTAACGCTTCTAGGACAGCATCTAACAAGGTAGGGTCTCTCTCTGGCTTTGGGAAGACAACTGTCACCAAAACAGAAAAAGTTTTCTGACTTGTGTAGCCTTCTGGAGATTAAGTCCCCCACCCACCCCTTTCCCTATTTCTTACAGGAGACAGACTGTGACCAGTACCCCTTGCTGGATCGAGCTGCACCTGAATGGGCCTTTGCAGTGGCTTGACAAGGTCCTCACCCAGATGGGCTCCCCAAGCATCCGCTGTTCCAGTGTGTCTTAAGAGACATTGAGTATGGTAGGGGAGGGCGGGCTTGGGGAAAAGGTCATGCAGGAAGTTGAGAGAATTGAAACTCTACTCAACCCATTATTGTCAAGGAAGAAGAAATCTTTCTCCCTCAACTGAAGGGGTGCACCCACCTGTTTTCTGAAACACATGAGCAAACCCAGAGGTGGATGTTATGAACAGCTGTGTCTGCCAAACACATTTGCCCTTTGGCCCCACTTCGAAGGGCAAGAAACGGCTTCTGCTCTGGTGGCTTAAGTGAGCAGAACAGGTAGTATTACACCACCAGCCCCCTCCCCGCAGACTCCTTTTTTGGTTGACAGCTTTCTGGGATGTCACAGTCCAACCAGAAACGCCCTTCTGTCTAGGACTGCAGTGTAGTTCACCTTGGAAGGGCATTCTAGGTAGAAAGAGCCCGCAGGGCCATGCGGACCTCATGCCCAGCTCTCTGATGCTTGTGACAATGCCTCTTCCAATGAACATTCCCAGCCTAGCCCCACCGCTCCAGCACACCCTGCCCCTCGTGAGCTGGATGGACCTGGGGTGAGGAAAGGAGCTTGTCTCCCTCCCTCCCCTCTCAGAACATACTGACTAGAAGGCGTGTGTTCAGCAGAACCTGCCCACAGGACAGCAGGAAACATTGGTGAGCGCCACGGCTTTAAAAACTCTTAGGTTTTTCCTTTTTCACTTTGAAAAGTTGGAAGCATCTGCTGAGTCCCAGTGCATATGCAATGTATAGTGTCTATTATCACATTAATCTCAAAGAGATTCAAATGATGGTAAGTGTTCTCATGAAATAGGACGTTCTTGTCGTGGGATGGCATTTGGTTGCAGGCCCCACCACGCTGGGCGTGCGTCACCAGTCAGAGCTTGCTCCGGATTCTGATGCAAATGGCTATATTGGTGGATGTAGTCAGTTGCATTAATTAAATCAACTTTATCATATGCTCTTTTCAATGTTTGGTTTATACATCTTCTTTAAAAATCCTGGCCTGGCACATTGACTGGGAAACCTGAGTTAGACCCAGCAACTGCTTCTCTCCCTTCTCTCTTCTAAGGTGAAGCTTTTCCAGGTTTTGTTGAAGGGACACCTGCTAGCACTTCTGGAAGCGGAAATTTACAGAAGCACATTCACCAGAAGGGAAACATCTCAGGCCAACATAGGCAACTGAAAAGGGCTATCAAAATATTTTTACACCTTTGAAAATTGCAGGCTTGGTACAAAGAGGTCTGTCATCTTCCCCCTGGGATATAAGATGATCTTGCTCCCAGTAGAGGATCATCAGTGACAACTGTAGCAGTTATATTGTGTAATAAGTACGGCTCCCAGTGGCAGTTAGGGAGAAAACTTAGTCAAAATTACTTCAACTGGAAAAAAGAGCCCTCTTCTTTTCCCAGCCTTTTGCAAAACACGACAGACAGAACTGCCACCTTCAATTGGTACTTTATTCTTTGCTGCTCTTTTTGTGTATAAAATGACCTATCCCACATTTTTGCATGGCTATATAGCAGGAAAAATCAAGGGATTTCCTATGGAAGTCCTGCTTTATTCCAGGTGAAGGGAAGGAAGTGTGTATAATTTTGGCAGGTTGTAAACCTCAAATGTGATGAGATTTCTGACGTTGGAGGAAGATGGACGGGCTTCCCAGTGCCCCACCTGCAGGATCCTGTGCCTCTGAAGCTCTAGCCACAAGGTTTCCAGTTAGGAGAGCTGCTCCCCAAGCCTCCTGAGGACACAGGAAGAGACCGAAGGAGCACCTTGACAGACTCAAGTCTCCTTGAAGGAGTACTGACCCAGAACTCGGACAACACAGAACCCTTCACTTCCTCTCAGAGGGCCAAATTCTGCAAGTCTGAAGCATTTGCCTGGTGTGAAATCATCTGCGGCCTATTTCTTGCACAGGGAGTCCCCGGAACATCCTGTACATGTGTTTCATGCTCCCAGCCAGCTCTGAGACCCAGGACACAAATATTCCATTTGCTAGAGCAGTCATGGTCCCCCCTCCTAAAAGCCATGGGCAGCAGTTTCCGAGGGCCTGCATTCACCTGCTGCGCCATCCTGTGAGGGCTTCTGTGGCACACAGCTCTCCAAGTGCCTGGGAACGAGCTTCAGCCGCAGCCTGATTCTGGTGATCCAGTGCAAGTCCTGTCTGATTCCAGGTAAAGGGGGAAAAAAGTCTATACTTTGTTATAAACTTCGAATGTGATGAAATGACATGTTTGGCTGCATTTGGATGGTGTCTTAGAGCCCTCATGCTTGGCTACTTGTAGGAGCATGAAATTTTGAGTTTTGCATGTTTCCAAAGGCTACTTCCTTAGCCCTTTATAGACTAGACCACCAGAGGAGGATATGTGAGACTGTAGGCAGAGCCACCTGTGGCATCACTGAAAATAAATTTGATCATACCTAAGAGGTTAGGAAATTGTGCCATTTCCACCATACAGTGCTACATAGGCACTCTGGTATAACATTAGTGTCCTTCCTTGAAGCCACAAACTAGTTTAGTTCTAAAATCCTGTTTTATGAATGGCATTTGTATATTAGACTTTTTTAAAGGACAGCTGAAAGGGGCAAGAAACCGGGGCAGTGCTAGAGGAGTGCTGGTGGTGGCTAGAGTGGTTTTAAGGGGCGTTCATCTAGGCAACACGATCGCATGTGTTGCCCCTGCCCTGGGCTCCCCGCCATGACATCTTCACCTTGTAGCTTGTGCTGACACTGACCTGAGTGTAGCTAGCAGTAGGACATGGATCCTTGTCTTCAGCCCCTTCCAAGGAGCCGATTTTTACTCCCTTTCCTCTCTCCTTCCCATGCATGCATAGGTGGCTACCCCGCCGGTGTGGATTACAGGCCTGTGCTGGAACATCCTTAGCCGGCCACCTTCCTGGCAGGCTGTAGACCTGACATTTTGAGATAAGCCTAGAGTCAGGAGCGGGGACTTTGACTCTTAGGGAGAGCACACATGAGGGCAAAGCTGCTGGCAGACATCTCCATTGTCCTTATGTTATCTGTATTTTTTAAATGACCGTGGTGATTATTTTTTTTAAACCATTGTTAACATACCGAAGTGAGCTATAGCACATGTCGTGTGCTTAGTTTCTTTTTTCTCCATCTCCCCTTGGCGTCCTAGAGTTTGGACATATTCCAGGGGAAATGCTTTTACTCAGATGACAGGAAGGTTTGTAGTAGTGTGTGCATGTCATGCACGTATCTATGTGAGTAATCTGGGGAGGAAGCAAAGATCTGTTTCATTCTCAGCCTCAGGCTCCGTGAGGGTCTCCACAGGGCCAGAGCTCAGGTTAGACCACTCTCTTTCGTCCTGACAGATGTAGGGAAAAGAATCTGCAGGCTGCTTGTGGGACTGTTCACCGAGGGGGATACCAGCAGCGAGAGGGCACACGTTTAGCCCTGGACCCTGTTTCTTATAGTGTGACTTGGCTAGAGTTGGGAGGTTCCCCAAAATATGTGTCCTCACTTTACCAGAACAAAACCTCAACACAGCAAAGTTGTACTTTGTGTGGCAAAAATGTTCCCTTGTAGGCCCCTTTCAGGTAACAGTCTTCACAGTGTATTTCCATCACCGTTTAAGGAGCATCAGCCACTTCTCAAGTGGGAAGGGGAAGCAGAAAAATGGATGCATGAGGACATGGATCCAAAATGAAGATGAAGCATCTCCCACGGGGAGGTGGTGAGGAGACCATGGACTAAACAGGCAATTGTTCAAAAACACAGCTGTCATGCAAAAAGCAGCTTGCCGCTCATGTAAACTGGATTGAGAAATTCTCAGTGATTCTGTAATGGATTTTCTTCTTTTTTAATGCAGATGTATACTGTATACTCTAGTATGCTGGTGTTTTTATATTTATGTAATAATTTCTTAAAACCATTCAGATAACTATTTAATTTTTTAAAGAAAGTTAGAAAGGTCTCTCTGCCCAAGGACAGTGGCTGGAAGAGCTGTGGCACAGCCAGTTCTGAAGGTTGGTGGAGGGTGTAGTGGCTTTTTGGCTCAGCATCCAGAAACACCAAACCAGACTGGCTAAACAAGTGGCCACGTGTAAAAACAGGCAGCTGTGAGTCAAATCTGGGCCCTTCCACAAGGGTCCTCTGAACCAAGTCCCCTCCCTTGCTAGGGGTTGAAAGCATTACCCAGAGAGATGGAACCGTCTTTATCCAAGAAGCCTTCACTCACCTTCACTGCTGCTGTTGCAACTCGGCTGTTCTGGACTCTTACTTTGGTGTGTGTTGAGGGATGGGGAATAGAGCATTGACTATGTTGATACCTTTACTATTCAGCCGGCCTGACCTTTCAATATCTTTGTAAAAAGCATGTATGTATTTATAGTGTTTTAGATTTTTCTAACTTTTTTATCTTAAAAGCAGAGCACCTGTTTTAAGCATCGTACCCCTATTGTTAAAGATTTGTGTCCTCTCGTCCCCTCTCTTCCTCTTGTTAAGTGCCCTTCTAATAAACTTCATGGAAAAGCTCCGTGCCAGGAGCTCAGTCTGATTCTTGCTGCTATCTGTGGGTGGAGAGGAGATTTTAAAGGGAGCCCAGAGGGGTCTCAGGGACTTCAGGGCTCAGGAGGACCAGAGGAAAATGTCTCAAAGCCCGGATGTACCTTAACCAACGATGTGCCAGGCCACATTCTGCTGTGGTCCTCATGTAATACTCAGCTGCCCTCATTCACTCACCAAGGCAACATGCAGTACCAACAGGAGCTCCTGGGCCATCTGCAAAAAGGTCACAAGTTTCTCAACGGGTACATCTCGCTGCTCCCCACACCTAAACACCACACGTCCCATTGATGCTGTCTCTGCAGTGCCATTTTGCATTTTACTTCCTCTGTACTCCAGGCCTTTGGTAAATGACTGCCACCAACCCAACCTCAAGCCTTGTCACCTCTTGCTTCTGCTAGTCTCTCCTGATTCCTCCATATTGTCACTGTGTCTTAAATGCCACCAGATTTGTCTTCCCACAGGCATGGAGGTAACTTTTGCTTCACAAGTAACTTGGTTTCTACATCTTCCAGCTCAGATAACTGTTAGCACCTGTGAAAATTCATTTTGAATTCAAAACGCCCAAGAAGAAATGGACTTCAACGTTGTTTCCTTGGCTAGATCTTACATGGACCCCAGAAGATGTAGATAAAGAAAAACACTGATTAAAATGTAAAATGTTGGCCAGACGTGGTGGCTCAACGCCTGTAATTCCAGCACTTTGGGTGGCAGAGACAGATCACTTGAGGTCAGGAATTCAAGACCACCCTGGCCAACAGGGCGAAAACCCCGTCTCTACCAAAAAATACAAACATTAGCCAGGCGTGGTGGCACACACTTGTAGTCCCAACTACTCGAGAGGCTGAAGTGAGAGACTCGCTTGAACCCAGGAGGTGGAGGTTGCAGTGAGCTGAGATTATGCCACTGTCTCAAGAAAAAAAAAAAAAAAAAAGGTAAAATACCTTTTGGTTCCCCCCTCAACCCCTGAGACGGAGTCTTGCTCTGTCGCCAGGCTGGAGTGCAGTGGCGCCATCTCGGCTCACTGCAACCTCCACCTCCCCGGGTTCAAGCGATTGTCCTACCTCAGCCTCCCAAGTAGCTGGGATTACAGGCGCTCACCACCATGCCCAGCTAATTTTTGTGTTTTTAGTAGAGATGGGGTTTCACCTTGTTGGCCAGGCTGGTCTCGAACTCCTGACTTCATGATCCGTCCACCTTGGATTACATGCGTGAGCCACTGCGCCCGGCCCTGCCTTTTGGTTTTTAAGAGGCTGAATAAGCAGAGTTTGGGGGAGAAGGATGAAATGGCTTGGAATAATCCTCTGGTGTGACCACATCCGCAGCAGTCCTCCTCCTAAAGACCTCCCCAGCATCCAAACCCCTCCCTTACCAGGAGGAGGCAGGCCACACAATAACAGCCTATAGATTTAACCTCTGAGAACTGCATCACCTTCCTGCCTTTATGATTATTTGGCCAGTTCTTCCACCTTCCTACTCCCTTAACAACTTTCCTCAAGGGTTTATGTAGTCTGTACTTCCAACAGCTGACCCAAACCAGTACTTATAACCCAACCTGTTCCCCGAGATGCACGATTTTAAATTCCAGCTTTTTGTTCGACGTGCTCGAAAACATGGCGCCCGCAAAGTGAATCATCTTCCCCCCTCCCTTTTCTGCTTCCCCAGTTTTTATCAGTAGCCTCTTCCTTCCCATTTTCCAAGCCCTGAGCAGCTTGACACATTGCTTTTCCTTGCTCTCCATCACCTCTCTGCTGCTGCCATCTCCCTTTTGGAAAGGCCCTACTCCCTGAGCTTCCCGGCTCTCCTTGGCCCTCTCATACCATCTGCTCTTTTTCTTGGGCCTACACCTCTTCTGCCTACTTCCTTGTTGGTATTCCCAGACCACTATTCCGCTGACTCCTCCATGAGTGATCTCATCTACCCTTATGATTTCAAGCCACATAAATGCTAATGACTCCCAAATCATTACTTATAGCCCAAACTTCAATCCTGAGCTTCAGACTCATGTCCAGCCGGCTGCTGGCACATGGAGGGGCCACAAGTACCTCAAGCTCACAATCTAATTAACAGAATTCATGGTTTCCCTTCTTTAACCATCCCTCTCCCCTCTAGCCTTCAGCCCTGTTTTGGGCATGACCATTTACCCAACCCACATCCGCAGAAGCCATAGTGGTCCACCAGTCCTCTGCTCCCTACTTCCACAGAGTCCCACTTCTCCAATCTCTCTGCTCTAGTACCTCTCGCACTGCCCTAATTTACAGGTCCTCTAGTGCCTGGACAACTGCACCAGCATCCTAACGGGTCTCCTAGCCTCCAGATCGCTTTCCTATGAAGGCACCCTTCATGCCCCCAGTAACCTATCGGACCGTAGATGCTTCCCCTAGTCCACCGCACACATTTTAAGGTCTCTGCCCTGTTGCACCTGGCCCTCATTTGCCCTTACCTGGCTTTACCACTCCCTCCTTATCCTCTACAACCCAGCAACTTGCAGTCCTCATGGATCATCCTTGTCTCCATGGCTGCTCATACTTAGAACATCAAACTCTCCTCCCCAGCCTACCCCCTGCTCCCCAGCACACCACCAGTTCGCCTGGCCAACTTTTACTAACACTCTGTGCCTCCATTCAGACACATCCTCCAGGAAGCCTCTCAGGAACATCTCTCTCTGTTGCCACAGTCCCTCCCTAGCCTGTGAGTAACTTGAGAGTAGGGTTTACGTTTTATTCCTATCCCTGGCTTCTTTCACACATTTTTGCCAAGTAAATGAATCAATCAGTGTCCGAATCTAGTAGATTCTATCTTAGCAGAATCTTTTATATCCATTTCCACAGTGCTATCTTGTAGTAGGTCCTTACATATGACTGAAGGAATATGGTTCCTGATTACCTGCAATCACAGCTGTCCCAAAGTTCTCATCTGTGTCCCTGTAGTTCAGGGATAACATACAGATGGCAAAATTCTGCCCTTCTCTATTTCTTTACCCATGGCCAAAACCACTCATCACAGGGTTGGGTCCATCCTCAGCCTCAGATTCCTTCGCAACACAGCTAATTGGTTAGGCAAATACTGCTAACACTGCTGCCAAATTTTCCTGGAATGTAATTATGGTTAGATGCCTTGTCTGCTCAAAACCTTTGGCTCCTCACTTCCCTCCAGAGTAGGCACAGACTCTACAAGGTGCCCTCTGGCATCACTCCATCCTCATCTGCCGCCATTTCTTTATGTGGATTCCTTGCCTTTTCCCGGCACATCCCCTCATGATTCTTTCCAGACCTTTGTTCATAACTTCAACTCTGCTGCCTTCACTTACCTATCTGCCAAATTTTAATCCTTTAATCCAAAAGGCATTTTACCTTTTTTTTTTTTTTTTTTTCACCTTCTAGCTCAACTCAAACAAGACTTCCCCTAAGTTAGTGGTTCTACGTCAGTCCCAGGACCAGACCAGCAGCATCAGCATCACCTGGGATGTTAAAGATGTAAATTCTCAGGCCCCGTGCCAGGCCTACTGAATCCCAGACTCTGGAGTGGGGCCTTCCAGGTGATTGTGATGTGGGCTCACTTCTGAGAACCACCACCCTAAGAGGCACTTCCTGTTCTCCACAGCCCACTGTGTTCTTTACTTTCCACGGCCATTAGGGCTGCTCACGGCACTCTTCACATGCCGTTTTGGCACTGTCTTTTGTGACCTTGTCTGACTTGCCCCCTGCTCCCACCTGAGTTGGACTCTGAGCTCATGGAAAGGAAAAACTACATCCTGACTCAAGTCTGTGTCCTCTGCCACACCTAGCTCAGATTCTGGCACCAAGGACGTTCACAGTCAGTGCTGGCCAGACCCCGAGTTCTTGTTTCTGCTCTCACCAGGGTAGAAGGAACAAATTTAAGGTCATCTCACTTCACCACTAATGACTTCCTGAGAATTTCCTGGGGAAGCATGATTGTTGCAGGCCACGTCCTTGGAATTCAGATTAAAATAATCTTTTCTCTCCTAAACTATGCTACTGTTTCCATACAGTTTCTACCCCAGGCCTTAGTCCACATTTTTGTCTAATAGCATTAAAGCCACCTGGTTGATAATAGCAAGGACAGGGGCAATGATTGGACACCTCCTTCATTACAGCAAACCCGAGAGGCTTCCTAGTTAGTAAACTGGGCATACGCGGCTTTGTGTGCCTGGTTATGCTTCCCAGATCTGTAGTTGTGCGGAGGAAGTATTTGGGCCTAATAATGGACGCACAGAAAGGGGATTTTAAAAGTTGTTTTTTTTTGTCTTTTTACCCCCAAGCCTGTGTTTCAAAGACGCAGTAACCATTAGGGCCAGGTTTTTAATCAAAATGTTTTCAAAAGGAAACAAAGTAGCAAACCAGAGGAATAACTTAGCACAAGATACTTCCCATGCTAGAACTCAAGTCTGAGTGAAGACACCTACCTTAAGAGCAAGCTTTGTGATATTAACAGGCATATGTAATGCCAAAGCATGAAATTTAGAGAATTTCTAAGACATTTTCTGTAAGAGCTTACATGCCAAAGGTGCCAGGATGGATCACTAAACTTGAGTGGAATCGAAAATACTAGAATTTTGCCATGCACAGTCAGCCTTCTACTTTCATGAGACATACAAATTATGGGAACGTAAATAAGGGGTTGTTTTCAAACTGATCTAACGCGGTCCTGGGTTCAGTATACACATGACCAGAGTTTTTACACTTTCTCCACCTACAGTCCTCCAGTAAGATTTGGTACTTAATGACATAACGCTGTAGCTAAATTGTCCATCGTAAAAGTAACAGCAGAGAGAGTGAAGAGCAAACCTAAGGCATTAGGACATTCACTGAAACTCTTGTCTCCATCAATCAGAACGTTCAATGAATCAGAACCCCTAATGAATCAGAACCTCTGACCACACCAGACACATGATTGCTAAATTTAGCTTTGCCTCAGCAAACGCTGAAGCTCAGAATAGTTTACAGAGCTCTCATCTTACCCTTAGACAGT